CCACAGCCGCCTACCTATCATGTATAATTCATGTCTCTCTTCTAGATGAGAAAGGAATGTTACTATCCAGGAAAAATAAACAATAATCAATGCTTTTTGACATGTTGACTACTCTCAGGTCTTCATCTCATCACCAACTTTAAACACCCTGGCTCTCCCGCTTTGATATCCCTTATGCCAATGACAAAGGATGGACACTGTAACCAATCATGTGTAGTAATACAATGGCGACTGGGTCTGCCCACTTATTGCCAAAAGGAAGAACCACTTGTGATCGAGCAGGTTATAGTTTTGCGATCAGCCGAGCAAGTGTTTGTACTTATGATTCTGCGTGCACTCAAAGCATAGTTTTCTTCTCACAGGCCTCCGTATTGCTCTCGTGATAAAAGAAATTCTGCGCGCAAAAGTAAAATGTGCGCTCAATCCTGATTATATTTGCGCTTCTGCGGGTCACATTTGCCCTTGCGCGAGATGTTGTTGTGAGTGATGAGTTGTTTGCTCTTGCGGTTTTTGGCCGTGATATGCCGCCATAGTAAACAAATTATTTTATTTATTACTGTCAAATCAGAATTCTGTTGGAAAGTCTTGCCACACAGTGGGCTGTTGAGGTTTACTCAGCAGCATGAATAATAGTGCCCATGTAATTTTTGGTCATGGAAATTGCCTCTTATCAAGAATGAGTGTGTCCTTTTGATACATTCTTTTAGTGTGAAATGATGTATTTACCAGTTAGAGCAGCAACCTTTCCCTTCTTGTCTGTATTGTCATCAGCAACACATCCCCTACTTTTACTTCCCTTTCTCCCCATACTAGCCATTTTTGTAGTGAGACCATTTTTGTACAAAATGAGCTATTGGGAGTTGTAAGGCTGATGACAGCCTCATTAAATTATACAACAACAAACTACAGACCGAGAGCATTCAGAAAATGGATGGCTTTCCTAGATATATTAATGCCACTGATTTCTCTCCATTTTAGTTTTACAAAAACCATAAGCCAGCCAGAGATTGAAAGGAAGTTGACATGAATAAGTCCACTAGCATATTCCATCGTCCAAAGTTAGGTGTCTCACACCTTTCTGATCGGTCCATTATTGTTTGTATTTCACACTACATTGTTTTATCCTCTGCATTTGAATGTCATGCTTTCATATTTTTGGTTTTTGGACATCCCTTCAGCGGCCAAATCATAGTCTGAAGATTAGGTGGAAACATCATACAGTATATTTAGAAAAAAGTGATGGTAGCACGAAACACAATAAACAAAAAAACCAACACAAAAAAGAACACAGATTATTAGGGTTGAATCCCTTGGAATTTGCAATACAGACCACCTCAGTTCCATTTAATCTGTCTTGTTTTTGCCAACATTCCACAGTCCTAAAAATCCGAGACAAATAAGATAACATTTTTTTCTCAGTCGTTACTGGGGAGTCAGGAAGTGTGACTAGCCTTGATTCACTTCCTGTTTTTAATCCCATTAGGCGTATGTTGTCTAATTTGACATGACCAAACTTGATGGACGAAGGTTGTTCCCGTACAGGCCCCATTTTTTTGGGGGGGGGGGCAGACAGAATTGTTCAAACACCTCTCTGGCAGAAACTAGCACCTTGCACATCAGAGCATCTTAAACACTTTCTGGGGCTTCAAATTGTGGAGGAACGTCACTGCAAAAGCCGATCCAAGCAACAGTCAATATAGCAGTTGCAGATTTTTTTTTTTATCAGATTACAGTTACATTAAGTACAAATAGAGATTATTTATAATTATAATCAACTTGTTTTTTATGGCACAGTTACAAAGTGCCTTACATGGCTGGAACCAGGAATAAAAACAACAGGAGGCAAACCACACAAAATAAAATTAGACAGGTCAAATCATATAGAACTGAGGTAGAGTAAAAACAATACAACACCAATTGCTAATAATATGATGAACACAGTATTAATAATAAAATAGATGAGACATGATGGAAATTAAATGTTGCACTAGAATGAATAAAAGGCTTTTTTAAAGAGATTTATGAGGGTTCATCCAAGCCATTCATTCTGGCCCTCTCAACAACATACATTCTCCTTTCACATACCTATATTTTCACTCTCACAAACATGCATATATATATTTAAGTAGATTGATTTTAAATCTAAGATATAAATTGTATGTAATATGTATTGAAAATTACCATGCATTTTGTGTGATCAGATGACAAGTAAACATCACTAAATACAGTGTAAACGACCACCAATACACATCGTGATCCAATCACTCAAACCACTTGTGAGGTGGTCATGGTCACATTTGATCACACATCTTTTGTAGTGTAAACGCTTATACGTCCTGGTCCACACTGCAGGGCCACCTACTCAACGCATGTCCTTTAAGTACACACAAGATACACTGTCTGATTGGTTCACTGTAATGCAAATTATGTGCTTGGGCTCTTTTACCTGCCAAGATGAGCAGCAGTTTGTGAACACAATGTTTGTTTCAACTGATTTCACCATTGAACCAACACAATATTGCCAGACGCCCTTAAAAAAATCTCACAATTCTTAAAGTTATTGAGTGAGGAGAAACAAAATCCATTGCAAATTCTTCATTATTTGGGAACATCTGGTAAATTCTGCAAATGTTATACATTAATTTACTTATTATGCAGATTTTCAAGACCACTATTGAGTTCACTGCGAAATGATGACAGACTCACTCAGACATCTGACTAAATGCACCTCAAATTGTCTACGAACATCTAGAGCAGGGTCACAATTTAGACGTCTTCATAAGACCACTTATGAGCATCAATGAATGTTCATAAGGCTCAGTACTAGATGTCTGATGTTAGAGACCACTTCTAAACAGTCTTTTCAAGACTTCTGTTGAAAGTCAGCGGGCCTTCATGACAATAACATTGAAGTTTAAAAGCCGGGTCAAGTTCTCTTTAGAACAAAAATTACCCTTCGTAACATGACAAACTGTGAACAATAATCTGTCATACTATAAGTAGTTCTGGCCCTCTCACACACATATTCTCCTTTCACATAGAGTATAAACATACATCTCCATGTCACAAGTGGACAGCTTTATGTATGTCAGCTCACACCTGGCATTAGAATGCGTCTCCACATGCATTTCATTTCCTGGCTCAATAAACAGTATAGGGCCAGGGTCAGCAATGTCCATTATTACTGTCCTTTTGGCTGCTCAATACAAAGATTCATCCATTGGTTCCTTTACCAAAATCTGGCTGGACCAAGAAGTCTCTGTTCTCTATTCCTATCCCATTTCATCCTGTGTTCTCTGAAATTTAAAAAACTATTAAACACGACTTTGCGGTTTGTCATTGTGACCTGATGATGTGGTCTGATGATCTAACCTGTAGTTTCCATGTCTCTTGAAACAATAATAGTAAGCAAGAAGAAACTAAAGCTACCATATATTTTGTTGCTGATACAAATCAAAACTCACTAGTTCAGACTGGTCTGATGAGACATTAATCACATGTTAAGTCTTTTTCTTTTTTACTGTATATATTTTTAGTGTGTTTTTCAGCTGTATCCTTATGGTTGGAAATTACACAGAAAACCACTACTGAGCAGTAAAGCCTTAATAGGTGCATTAGTTTATTACAAGAGAAAGGACACACTTACCAATTTTGTGGAGCAACAGAAAAGTGATATAACTAGCAGTGTAAGTAATTACTGCTGGCAGGGAGTCAAGTAAGTAAGTAAAGTAATGACATTAAACATTTTGAGTAGCTAGCCCAACACTGCAACATAACTCAAATACAGAAACCATTCAAATTTGCAATGTCATTCTGTCCAGTACCAGTGAGCTAGGGGGAACAGGGAAGAAGAAAAAACATGGTTGCTAAGAATTTATGAGTAGTTGGCCTTTTGCAAGAGGTTTACTGTACTTACTGTACTAACCTTTTGCAAGAGTATGCAAGAAAAATTACATACATCAGCACATTTGGTTCAGCACATGTGAAATTAATCTGCAAAGGTATCTACAGTACATGAAAGCCGAATACAGTGGTTGGATTAGATGTCCTGTTTCTAATGACGTTAGACTAGACCCAGGAGCAAACACACAGACAGGATGGACGATTTCAATGGTCTTCATTCAACACACAGACTGGGTGGGATGAGGGGCGGCCACAGCAGGAACAGGCAGGTGAAAAGGCAAACAGACCGGAGACACAGGAGCACAGGAGAGCTGACTCTGGAAACAAAACTGAACGAGAGGGTCCCACCATGTTGGTTGAAGCAATCTAGCGATGAATGGAAGGAAGACCGGGGTTCTTGAGGGCTGAGG